GGGGCCCGGCCGAGGCTCCCCGGGGGCTCTGCAGCCTCCGCCCCAGCTGAGGTGGAGGCCTCGGGGGCCGAGGGTCGCGCGGGGGCCAGGCCCGGACTGTGCTGGGTGTCTGTAAGTCCCGCTGGCAAGTGAAAGTCTTTGCCTGGGCTCCTCCGTGCGTTCCGCCGCTGTTCGAGGAGCGATGGGGGTAATCAAGACTATTCCTTGACGCCGCTACTTTGTTTTTTTTGCAGTAGCTGGCGGCAAGGGCAGGTGGCGTAGAAGTTTTAGGCGTAGAAGTTGGGGTATCGAAGGCAATGAAACCTACCAAAAGTCAAGCGATTTGGTGCAAGTGGGGATTGGAGCTTCTGTTTCAGTCCAGTGTCTGGCCTTGGCTTTAGCTGATTTGTCGTTCTGAAGCTCAAAGATCCATTTTGTGCTTTATTTTTAAACGCATATACATGCATGCAACTCCAGAAGGAGAAAAGGATCCTGTGCTCTTAGGTTGAGTTTTGTTGTCTGTGATTTTTTTTGTTGTTGTTTTTTATAGTCTGTCAGATGAAATGATTGTAGGAAGTAGTTCTTTCTGATCTTGCTGCCCTTTTGCATGCATGAAATTGAAATCTTCTCTATTTTTAGTGGGCTCACGAAGCCTAATATTTATAACCACTCTTAGTAATACTGAAACAAAAGATATTATAGCAATACTGGTATTAACAGCGCAAATACTTATTTAACTTATAGGCTTGTGGGGTTATAGTGGAACTCATCAAAAGCAAGAAAATGGCTGGCAGAGCTGTGCTGTTGGCAGGACCTCCTGGAACTGGCAAGGTATTATTTTTCTGTTTTGAGATGAAATAAAGTATTCCCAAATCTATTTTATTTTAATTTGTTGTCAAAACAATTTTAGGCTAGTGGTTACGTAATGTTTTCTTCTACTAGATTTCCTTTATCAATGTATTGACATGATTTCATGCTTTTGTTTTGATTTTGCCGTGTCATCAAGGTTGGCAGCATCCAGTGGTGTGTTCAGGCATCATTAGTGTGAAACCACCTCTTATAGGTTACCGAACACATAATATGGTCTCTGAAGAAGAGTCTTAGAAGTTAATTTTATGTCAAAAGCCTAAATAGTTTTTGCTTTGTTTATTTTTTTTCCTATGCTATTTAAGGCTTTTTGCATTTGTATCAGATGTCAAATTCAAATGCCTAGTATTGTTTCTTTAAAGCGTTTATAAGTCTGATAGTCACTTTATACATCTAGCTTGTTTTGGAGTGAGGAGGGTTGTTATATATGAGAAATGTGTCAGAATAGTCTGAATATTAAATTGATAGTTGATATATGGAAAGTGATATGATGAGAAAAGTTAACTTTGTTTAGAAAGAATCCTTTGTTAATTCTCAAAAATTAATGTGTGTTTCTTCTTTTGTTGTTCTTTTAAGACTGCTTTGGCTCTAGCTATTGCTCAGGAACTGGGAAGTAAAGTTCCCTTTTGTCCTATGGTTGGAAGTGAGGTCTATTCCACTGAGATCAAGAAAACAGAAGTTCTAATGGAAAACTTCCGGCGTGCAATTGGTAGGTTTCAGAAAAAAAGAAGAATTAAGGATTTGCATGATACTTTTTTTGCTTTTTCCCAGTCGCCTAAAAAGGAAAAACTTTTCAGTGGTCATGGTGATCTTCAGATCATGGTATGTTCTTTTTTTTTCAGTGCTGATCTTAATATAGTGAATTTCTTCCACACTTAGTGGAATCAGTAGGGTTTTCTGTTTATAAACCATAGTTTTAATTGTTGCATTATGGTTTATTCTACTTCCCCAGAGTCTCCTCTCATCCTCCAGGTTCAGCTCCTGGTTTTGTCTGTGACTCTGAATAAAACTAAAAATAAAATTATTTTTAGTTTCTTACAGTAGCAGAAATACTTGTAGACAGAGAAATGCTCCCTACTTTTTTATTTTAGTGATTTTGCCCTACTAAGCAAACAGTCTTAATCAGGGACGCACAAAGGCAGTGTTAGTCTGACTTACTGTTTCAGCAAGCACAAAGTTCCGTGCCAACAAAATAAATACTTGAACCTAATATCTTCCTCAATTCTAGAGTGCTTTTACAAGCTTGATGTAAATTGGATAAATTTGCTATGCAACCTCAATGAGTATCTAAAATCTCTTTATATGATAGGTGCTGACAGCTCATAAATGCAGTTAGAAGCGGCCCTTGTTTGTATGAGGACTGGCTAAAGATAGTCTAACTGATTTTTAGTACTGAACTTATTAACAGTTAATTTTCCTGGTTTCTGTACCATGTTTCCCTTTGGACTTCATGTAAGTATTCGGTGGCAGTAAGGTGAAGAAGTCTCTGCAGTTCTGCAATGAAACAAAAGTATTCCATTGACTTTTATAAGAAAGCAACTCTCAGTAGTCTCTGGTCACCGTGAATCTGGCAGGGCCTGGGGGAGGGAAGCCAGAGACTGAGTAGTCTGCAATATTTCCTTGATGTGATGAAGTTCCCTGTCAGAGATTTGGAAACCCGAACCAACAGATGAAACTTATGCCATCCATGTTGTCATTCCTAGAGATAGCAGTATTTTAACTCTCTAAGGTTTAACAGCCAGCTACATTGTTAGTTCCCTGCATTCCCTGAATGTCAATAGCAAGACACTTCTAAACAAATATTGGTGTTAATGAAAGATGGACCTTCTTTTATCCCTTTCTGTTGAATTCCATGTCACATTTTCATAACGCAACCTTTATTGATTATTTTTATCAGTGTGCAAAAACAACTCAAATATTTTAAAGGACTAGTAACTGCCATTTTTCATAATGGAGGATTTTCCAATCATGTTTAAATCTCAGTTATGTTTTAGCTTCCCTGCTTGGTAAGTAATTTACAAGGGTGCATTTAAAAAAAAAAAAATAATTTGTATGCTCAGTTTGAGCATACACTCAGCTGTGACTGAGTGCAAGAGAAGCTTCAGCTTGCATGTCAGCCAGTACCTAAAATATTAACTTACGTTTTTTTTGGGGGGTGGGGGGAAGTCTTGTATGATTCCTTATTAGCAGGTTTTGTACACATCATCTATTGCTCCTATGGTGCATTTTATTTTCAGAGGGTTGAGCCACCTCAATTCATAAAAATGATCAGGCATGTTAACATCAGTTTTTTTCCTGTTTTCCTTTTTTTTTTTTTTTTTTTCCTTGGAAACAACACGTTGAGTCTGACTGGTTTGGACCTATCACTGTATAAGGAAACTGGGATGACTCCGAGTTTACAGAATTTTTATTTTTGGGAGTCTTTTAATAACAGACTCAACGTAGTCTCATGGCCAAGTACTGCTTGGGGTGTAGTAGAGTTTGTAATACCTAAGAAACATAAAAGGACAGAGTGGGAAATGAGAAGATGGAATTGTTGTACAGGTTAAAAAAGCTGACAGGGATTAATCCTGTATAGAGCTTATTAGCAGCTGGCAAGGATGATGACAGTAGCTTATGTTAGAGCTCAGTTGCAGTAAAAAATAACTACTGGAATAGCCACTTAAATAGCATATCTGTTCACTCTGTCTCCAAATTGTAACTGCCAGTAAATCAAACAAGGACTGTTTGACTTCATATAGTGCCATTGAACCAAAACATGAAATAATCTGCAGCTTCCTTCTTAGACTTGTGCCTCCGATTTGTAAGTAGGAAATATCTCTGCTTAAGTTAAAGAGCTCTTTTGAGAATGAAGTTCTTACTTGATACATGCAGATTCACATGAAAACAAAGGGTAATCAGCAGCAAGTTCAAAGCATTGATTACTTTTGTTCAGATCATGTTAATCTGTAAATATTTTTTTATAGACGCATCTATATGAGCACATTAGTTCAGATTAGAGGCATGCTTTTGAAGCAGATCTCTAGGTTGTCCTTACGGGCTTGGCTTTAGTTTGCATTCTGGAGCAGACCCTGAGCATGTGAATTGAATTCTTTTCAGATTAAATGAAACTGGAAAATGTGCTTTAGCAGCATACAAAATATGCCCCAAATACAAAATATGCCCCAAACATAAATGGGCTTCCAGTTTTTCAGAGCAGAATAGAGCTTGTGCTGAAGGTTTAAAACCAGAACAAAAAGGAAAAACAAACCTGTCAATGTCCACTTCTCGGCACCAGCAGTTCCCATATTGCTTCACACTCCTTGCATGTGTAGCCTATGTGATGCAGACTTAGTCTAAGTCAGTTTTATAACTCAAACATTCTTTTTTTTTGTTTTTGTTTGATGTTTTGGCATACCTGAAAAACATTTTAAAAAATTACTGAAATTAACTTTCTATAGAGCTTTTTATGTAGTGCTAAGTAAGAGAACGCAAACATTCCTTACCAAGAAATCATTGTTAGCCACAACTAACCTATTTCTCACATTTCAAATCCTAGTCTTAAATTGAGTCCAGTAGAGGGAGACAGACTCATATTTGTCAGTTCTTTATATTTCCCTATCAGCAACTCAAGATTACTGGTGAAGTGTCTGATCTATTTCAAAGCAAAACGAAAAGTTATGGAACAAGGAAAGTTTTATAAAGTCCTAATAGCCTCAGACTAGGCAGGATGACTTCCTTGTATCTTGTTACAGCCCATTCATTATTTTTGGTATGGCATGTGTGTCTCATAAAATACTTTATAGAGCTCTTCAGATGTGGGTTCTTTGAACTTTTATGTAGTTAGAACGTCTGCATAATTGTAGTGGTGGTGGTGATGATAGTGGTTTTTCTTTGGAACAGTATAACCGTAAAACTCTTCAGCTCTATATTATTCATCAATTTAAAATAACTTTGTTAATTACAATAGTTCTGAGTAGAATAGAAGATACCCAGATACTATGATGATTGCTCAACTGTCTGAAAACTAACAAAGTAAGGATGTCATTGTCAGCTATTTTGAAATACTTTTAAATTTGCATTATAGCAGGTTCTGCTAAATTTTATCTAGCTCCCCTTTTGCTAATAACTTGAAAAATATTTAAAATTATACATTAACCTTTTCTTAATTTTATGAGGTTCTAACATAATACCTGTTAGTCAATTTATGTTATTTTTAAGTCGGTTGCTAAAATTTAAAGATTTTTATGAAGTTACTTTTTTTCTTGTGTCTTTTTTCCTTACTTTGCAGGGCTTTTCTGATGGTACAAAAATTGTGTAAAACTTGCAGTTATATTAGTGTCACAGTTCTTTAGTTTCAGAAGATGAACTGTTTCTCTGACTTCAGCATGGGGGACAAATCAAGCAAATCCCCTCTTTGGGGGAGGGAAGAGAGAGAGGATACTGACTAATACTTCAAGAACTAATGAGCTGACTAATGAGCTGACTAGCTTCAAGAACTAATAATAACAGTCAGTTTGGTTTCTCAGAGTTTAATAAACTGCTTTGCAGGTTAGAACTTGGGCTGAACTTTTGCTCTGATGACACAGAGTGATTATTCTCATTTAATATTAAAGAAGAAAACAATAATTGATGTTTCTACTTTTGAGAGTAAAAAATTACTGTTATGTTACATTCTGTTGGCAGTAATGCAGCAGACTGTATCCGGTTATTGATTCGTGTATTGAGACTATTCTAAACAATTTCTTGCAGGGTTGAGGATTAAAGAGACCAAGGAGGTTTATGAAGGAGAAGTCACAGAACTAACTCCATGTGAGACTGAGAATCCTATGGGGGGGTATGGCAAAACCATCAGCCATGTAATTATAGGACTCAAAACTGCAAAGGGAACCAAACAGTTGAAGGTATGTATGGCAGAGTCTCAAAAATTTCCTTAAGTATTTCTGGTCTGCATTTTCTATTTTTAGCACTTCTTATTTCCATTGCAAGCCATTGATCCCCATATCTGTAGAGTCAGGATGCCAGGAGGCTGTTTTCTTTTGCTCGACAACTTTATCCGGAGCATGTATGTTTACCTGTTTTGTGTAGAATATTTAAATGTTAGTCTTGTATCCCACTAATTGAAATTGGGAATAAGCCCATCACTCATTTAGCAGCCCCTGTAATTTTTGTTTGGCAGCACACACTTGTATGTCTTCAGTGAGTTAAAGGAGAGTATAAGCAGGAGGGGATCCTGATGCAGTTCTGCAGCATTACTGGTACCACAGAAAAATGGGTTGAGTTGAGAATCTGAACTATGATCTGTCTCAGTCTGTGATACGCTTACACTGACCCTGGCTATAAATTCATGTTTGTGATAACAAACATAGAAGAAAGGTCTTGTTTGGTTTTGTTTTCCCGGCTCTCAACTGAATTTTTGAGGATGGTTTTGGGAAATGTTGCCTACTTTAGTATAAATTGTTCTTTCTGTCACATCCCTTCTTTCTATGTGGGGAGGTATGCTCTAGTGAATATTTGATTTGAACTGGAAATTGAGCTGGTATGTTGCCAGCTCAGACCCACTTTCCCTTTGTTTTCTCGTACAAGTCTCTGTCCATGTTGTTCAATTTTCCTGTCAGTTAGAGTATGAGAGAATTGAAAGCTGTCTCTGGTGCTGTGTATCATCTTGCATTTGTTCACTCTGAAAACGAGAAAATGCAGAGCAAAAGTGAATAAACACGTACTGAGAGAAACAAAAGCATCTGACGTATTCCACATTCACTCTCCCTCACACAGCTCCACAGAGGATACAGATTCAAGAGATCAAGTAGCATAATCCAGTGCTATAGCTAGATATTTTATAAAAGTTTTGTTAGAAAGCAAGAGAAGTGCTACATCCTAGGTATAAATATATTGTCACATTACACAAAGGCATACTTTGTGATAGTAACTGGTATCATTATGTTTCTGGCACTTTCTGTCACTTCCTTCAGATAGCAGATTTTTTTTGTAAGAAAGTAAATTCTGTCCATCTTCTTCTGGTTTTATTCTCTATCACTACTCCACGTGTTACAGCTTTATAAAATCCTAGAAGTATTTCTGGGGGGAGTTCCAGTTCAATTTTGTCTGGTGGGAGCAAGCTTTAGACTAAATCTCTCTTCCTTGATTACCATAACAATATGGAACTGTTTTGACCAACTGTGATGTTCTTTTTTCTCCAGCTGGACCCAAGCATATTTGAAAGTTTGCAGAAGGAGCGAGTGGAAACTGGTGATGTTATTTATATTGAAGCAAACAGTGGAGCCGTCAAGGTAAAAGAAAAGTTATGCACTTGTATGCAGGTATATGTGTTCTTGCAGACCTTTGTCTGCCTTTGTCAGAAGGCCTTCCAATTTATTAACCTTAACTGACATGAAGTGGTTACATGGAAGTTTTAAAAAGAGCCCAGTGTTTTCCTTATCTGGAGAGAAAATTCTCTCTTGCACTGAAAGAACTTGGTCATCTGGTTCACAATTAAGGTCATCTGGCAAGGAAGCTATCACTGATGCTGTCTGGATGAGTTTTCTTTTCTGTAAGATCAAGACATCTTTAAAGGAAGGGGAGAAAAACCAAGCAACTTTAGTCATTTTCAGGCTGACATGTGCAGTGTATTTAATCTTTCTTTTATCGCTCTGGTATTTTCTCCACAAGATATATACATGTAGAAGGGAATGCTGCATTAGTTAGCATTCTTTTCGTATCTGATTTAGAAAGTAGTGTACAGCGATACTTGCTGTTTAATGGATGAGCATAATATTTTGTGTCATATAATAAATCACCCACCTACAAAGGAGTCTTGAACAGTTCTTCCAATCTCTAGTTAATCTGCAGGATTTGTCCTTTAGCAAGAATTGCATACGGTTAAAAGAAGGGGAGAGGGGAGTGGCATATTCTTAGCGCTGAAAATATCAGGTGTTTTTCAACAGAGTTTTTGAGCTTTGATCAGTAGATAGGGTATGCCTGTTGCTAAGCAGGGAGTGGGATGTCTGAATTGTCAACTGAAGCTTGTCAGGACTGGAATTGTGAACCAAGCCCTTTATCTTTATCAAGTTCATGTCACTCAAGGTTTTGGCACTAAAACTAATTCTATACCTGGGTTTCTCTTCTTTTCTTTTTCTCAGAGGCAAGGCAGGTGTGATATCTATGCTACGGAATTTGACCTTGAAGCTGAAGAGTATGTTCCCTTGCCAAAGGGTGATGTGCACAAGAAAAAGGAAATTATTCAGGATGTCACCCTGCATGACTTGGATGTGGCCAATGCTCGACCTCAGGTATCTGACTCCACAGATGAAGTCCTTACAAAAAAATTATTTGACATAAACGCGGTGGTTACTAGAATAATCAAGGAGATGTAGAAAGTTGAGCTGTCCTAAATCAGCCTCAAAGATTCCACTACAGGAGAAGCAGTAGGTGTTACGCTATGGAAGGCCAGTCTACCTCTCCTCTCTGGAAGGAGGTCATGCTGCAGTTGGCTACCTCAGCGGCCCTGCCATACAGGTTAAAGAGGCAGTTGCTGAGTTAGGATTTATGCACCTGGTCGTGGAGTATTTATCAGAGTACGTTTCCTAACACTACAGAGAACAGCCTTATAGCCATAGCAGAGCTTCCACATGGATATTTGGGATCTGCTACCTTCACAGTTAATGCATAATCTAGACCTAGCTCTCCCCTTCCCTCCGCCACTGTGCCCCATCCCCTGCAAAAAAAGGGCAGCATGGGCTGCTCCTCTTGACCAAGGAAAGAGATTGTTTTCTCTCCAGAAAGAAACTTGCCTACAGATGTGAGGTAGCAGCAGCCAGGTCTGCATCATTTTACTTACCGAAGTTCTGAATACAGATTAATTTATTCTGCTCTGTGTTTATGGTATTGTGGCCATGAAATGGAAACTGCAAGCACTGTGATGAAAGTCACTAAGCATTTTGGACTGTTGCGGATTCTCTTGACGTGCCTGCTTCCTTCAGAGGTGTTTCCTAACCTCTTGTTAAATTTCCTTGTGACTTTCAGTAGAGCTCTGAACATATTGCAACAAAAAAATGAAAATAGGAGAATTACTCCTTGCTGTATCTTAACATAAACTCACTATTGAGAGAATTCCATCTACATCATAAACATAAGCCATTAACAATACAGTATCTTTGTTTAAAGGCTGGCATCGCGACAGTATGATACTACAAGCCCTTAACCTATTCCATTTCAAAATAAACATCCTTTTTCCAACGAAATCATTTACATGAAAAAAATCAAGGTGTTCTAGGCTCTTAAAACTCAGCATAATTGTTCCTGTGTTTATAGGTTGAACACCTACTGTGCACGCAGGCGATCCAAGTTTCTGTGTTCCATGACAATTTTAGTCCTTACGAGCTTCTCTGTGACAATTTTTTTAAAAGAGGATATCTCATTTTGTTTTTCTATGTTCTCCAAATGAACGATGCTAAAGAAAGGGTGAGGAGGTAGCTAAATGGTTATGTTTAGAATACTGCTGCAGTGAAGTGACTTAACCTTTGACAGATTATCAGCCCTGCAGATATAAAGTATCAAGTTAACTGCAAGAAACAACTTCTTTAACCAATTCCTGTTTTATAAAATGTTCATCATATGTGCTCACTACAAGACCTCATAGCTGATCTGTAACTTTCTTCTCCTAGGGTGGGCAAGACATCCTTTCTATGATGGGGCAATTGATGAAGCCTAAGAAAACTGAAATTACTGGTATGAATCCTGCATGGTATTTTTAGACCAATATAACCTCTATGTTTGCCAGTTAGAAGAGGATTAAAAATAGGATTATTCATGCACCACCTCTAAATTAATGCCTACATAACATTTATTCATAAATATTCAGATTTCAAAAAGCAGTGATACAGCTGCTAGATTTGCAATGGCTGTAAACAGTACGTGTACTGTTGGTTCACACACAAAGTGACAATAACACTGTACTCTGCACCTATTTTCCTGGGGAGAAAGAGGTTAGAATGCTAGTACCATCCCCCTTTCTCAGAACACTCCTACCAGAGTGTATGAGATTAACACTTTGACAAACAGCCAAACTGAACAACAACCAAAAAATCGGAAAAACGTTGTTTGGATGCATGCTTATGTGAAGCAACCATACTGAATTTCTGTGGAGTAGAAAACCAGCTTCTAAAGACTCTAACTTTGGTTCGGTTTAGCCACCTCTATAGCAGCTGTCTATTGACTTGATGTTCTAAGTGCACTGCTGCTCTTCCTACCTACAGATCATGGGAGGGGAAAAAAACCCGCCAAAACTACAGACAGATCTATTCTCCTTTTTGCTTTGAAAGAAATGATGTTTCAGTAAGTGACTATCTAAATTTAGATCAAAGTCTGTTGCAATATCTAACTTGAATGGCAGTCTTTTGAAGTATTTCATCTGTTCCAGAGGTCACTTTGCTTATTCTAATGTCAGATTTATCGATGTAACATCTTGCTTAGCTTTGAGATCCATATGTTCACAGAAATTTATATAGCCCTATTTTTTTTTGTTGTTGTTCTTCCAGTGGTGTTCTTTTCAGCCACGCTTGGAAACTATTAAGTTTCATGTTTTAAACTGAGGTTTGACTGAATTCCCCCCCGCCAAACTCCCCAGACCCACAAAAATTATAGTTTTTCCACAAGTCATGTGAGAGGACAGACTAACTACTACAGAGTTAAGTGCTACAAGTTCCGTTTAGAAATATTTTGTTGCACAGGTGTCTCCCCAATACAGGTGTGAATGTCACAGAATTTTAGCATCATCGAGATTTTTCCCTGTGGCAGTAAGATACCAAACCATGAAAAAATTCAAGGAGACTTTTACTTGCTTTAAGTCTTTCACACAGACCTGTATGTAGTTCACTAGCAGAACAACTAACAGTTTCTTTTTGTTCTCAGACAAGCTTCGAGGAGAGATAAATAAGGTAGTAAATAAATACATCGATCAAGGCATTGCAGAGCTAGTCCCTGGTGTGCTCTTTGTAGATGAAGTTCACATGCTGGATATCGAATGTTTCACGTACCTGCACCGAGCACTGGAATCTTCTATTTCCCCCATTGTCATCTTTGCTTCCAATCGAGGAAACTGTGTTATCAGGTATGATGTCTAAGATTGAATTTTCCAGATTGCATTGGTCCATAAACCTTGGAATTAGCTGTATCAACAGAGTTATAACCTTTGAAGGCTTCTGCCTCTGATACTGACATCTATGATAATCCCTGGCTTACAAGCTGCATCAGTGCTCAAGAACTGTTTGTGAGCTTCATGATGGGACAGGCATTTAATGCCAGGCTGACTGAGTTAAAGCAGAATGGAATTCCTCCTATTTCCACTGACGCATCCCTCTTTCTCTAACAGCTTCTGAATTGTCATATTTCCTGGGTGATCTCTAACAATTGCCTTTCTCATTGGATACCTCAGCGCATCTGTTGTTTGCACGTTAGGGACATCAAAAACCAGGGCTACAAATCTCTAATATAGTTTCCTGCTGCTTCTGGATCATTTTGCTGTTTGCTGTCCTCATTTCATCAGACTTAAGCTTCCTGTTCTTACTGTTAAAGCATGTCACTGTTCAGTCTCTCCCCACCCTTCGTTATTTCCTATGTTGGTCTGGCTTTTTGTGATTCTTTGGTCTTGCCAACTAACTTGTTTTTCATCTCCACTCCAGTTCGTGCCTTTGCTTCAATATTGTGTGCCCGCACAATGCATTCTTTGCATGTTCAGTAGAAGTGCTGTCCTCTTTCAGATTCTTCCTTAAGCTCTACTGCTAATTTGTGGTCTAGGTCTAATTATGTCTAAACAAGCTGTCATTAGCAATGATTGCTACTCTTTAAATTGATTTAGTTCAGCTGTGTAACCAGCTATTCTTTTCCCTTTTAGTGGCTCATCTGGTATTAATCTTTCTCTGCTTGGATTGCTTAGAAGTTAAGGTGATAAGCCCTTCAGAAATGTGTAAAGTGGACATTGCAGCGCTCTCTTTGCAAAGGCATAAAAAGGCTGTCCTGTAAAAGTAGAGCAAATAGAGATCTGTCAGCATGGATTTGCTGCAGATCTCGTTATGAAAAAAATGTGATTTAAGAAAGGAAGATTTCTATAGAGTAGTTGTATCTTATTTTGCTAAATTAAGCCCTTAAAAGCAAGCTCTTTACTGTATACTACTATCTCAAGTAGCTAGCAATGCTCTGATTTGTCTGCTGATCGCTCTTAAAAGGGTCGGGGGAAAATTAATTGTATAGTACAGTTGATTCTGTAACCTCATACAGAAAGAATCACTTCAGAGGAGAGAACACCATCTACTCAAGAGTACAGCAGATGATTGCAGAGTATTTGGATTAATTTCCCAGGAAGGACCATGGCCAAAGCTGTAGTGCCTGAATACTAGTACTGAACTTAAAAACGTAGTTCTCTACCAGCATTTTACTGGTTTTACCTGCAATCTCTATAGATCTCATGAAATCTGGATATCTTTCAGTCTTGATTTCACAGCAAATTGTGCTGGTCTTGGAAAACCAGGAATAGATGTGTCTGCAGCCTTTGCTGTTGAGTGTTGTACGTCAAATAAAAGGGTTGGGGGCCTAGATCCTGCTCTGTCCTTCACGCACAGACATCCACTTCTCAGTTTGCTGGATTGCAAGCGTGGAATGTAAACCACTGGGGTATTCACTGGAAGGACTGGGAGAAGGATTGGACAGAGTAAAGGCTTATTTGTCAAGAGGGGATGTTATCCAAATGGATGATAGTGTATATAATTTCTACTGATACTGCTAAACAACTTAGTAAGAATGATTTTTTCCTTGCTGGGAGATACTTTGGAATATTGGGCAAGGCTGTATTTTAAGATACAATGCAGGTAAATGTTAAGGAAAGCACCACCTCTAAGTATTTTTGAGTGGCATGTTTAAGAGCTCCAGAAATAGTATTTGTTTCCCTTGGGCTGTCCAGCATGAACTTCAGACTAGAATGTTTCCTGTCTCTGTCTGGTGAGTGTCTCTCTGTGGGAATACACAAGAATGGTAAACTAGACGTGTAGTCACTTACAACTGATTTTAGTCAAATCAATGTACTGCACTCGGAATAGTATCTGATCTCTTTCTGTTTGGTTTCTCCTTTAGAGGCACAGAGGATGTAGTGTCTCCTCATGGAATACCACTGGACCTGCTGGATAGAGTGATGATTATCCGAACCATGCTGTATACACCCCAAGAAATGAAGCAGGTATGCACAGCATTTTAAGAGAAATTCTAAAAAGTCCCTGGAGTTCTAGTCTGTTGGGATGACTGCTACGTCTCTGTATATTCTATAGTAATGTAGAGCTGCTTGACACTTTGTGGTCACCAGGGTTTGTGCCAGAAAGCTTACCACTTCCTAAATGCACGCTGCTTTAGCAACCATTTACAGCAAGTAAGCTGGTTAAAATTGTGCATGCAATTTCTCTGTCTGATTTCCACCCACTGATGAGTTGTATTGGTAAGCAGATCTAGGGCCGAAAATGACATCTCCCTGGCATGAAATAGCGTGAATTGCTAGCTGACCTTATCTCTTGCACCAATGTTCTTCCCAGAGAATTTGCAGGTTCCAGCAGGTAGTGCTTTTTCAGTTGGTATGAGATGAAGTGTGTCCCATATTGGAACCATTGGTCCCAGACCTCAGGCTGTTACTCCACGTAAGAGATGACAGAGATTGAGGAATGCGACTTCATGCGCTACATTTTTTCTTCTGTGCCCTGTACTATAGCTTTAAGCTGCTAGGACTGTCTCTGGAAACTGGGAGGGTTTTCATGCTTCTAGTCAAGTTTGGAAATGTAAGCACAGTAAGTGTTGCAGAGATATGCTTCTGAATGCCTCAAACTTTTCCTGTGGGGCCATCTCAATGTATTGTGTATCGATTATAATGCTTGGGTGCCATTATGATGCATCGTGTCAAAGATCCCCCTCATTAGCGTCTCAATGCTGCGAAGTGACACAATGCAGAAGACATTACGGTTTATCATGTCAATTCTTTGTATTATTTAAGAGATAGTGTCAATGGAAGAGAGCGTTGTCACAAGATAATAGTCTCCTGCTGCTGGATAAGTGCCAAGGTGAAGCCGAGGCATTTATCGAATATAAACGTAGAGGCAAAGCTTCATTTCACTTGGTTTGAGGAGCTTTTCACATACAGCTGTTGTGAGCCGTTCTCGGGATTATTTTTTTCGTGCCTAAAAGGACACTTTAAAGCTTTATGGCATAGATTACAGTAGAAGCAACCCAGCGATTTGATAATATGCTTGTGTTTTGTCTGTGTACAAAACAAATTTTAAGCATGACTTTTACTCAGTTTGGGGATGTTAAAGATTGTTGTCTGGACTTCTGTAGTTAGGGTAGTACGAGTATGTACTCTGTTACTTTTTGTTAAGGTTGCTATATATAATACCTGCCTAGTGTGCTGTATTATCATGCAGATATACACTGTTAAAGAACTCATTTCTGAACTGTTGATTTTCAGAAGAGCTGGGTGAGTGCTGTGATTTCCACTCTCCCCAGGGGTGAGGGAAAGGAGTTGTTTACAGTAGCATTTCTTAAAGCTAAAAATAGAGCCCAGATAGTATGTCCCATAAATCATTTTCCCATAGTCAAATAATCTCATCTTCCCTTAAAATTAAGGCTTTTGAATGATGACTTCTCTTGGGAGAAGAGGAGGAGCTATTACAATTAACTATGGTTTCTAACTAAATACAACTGAGGAAGTTTAAAAATAAGACCTCCATAAATTTATTTCTCTGTCTTTGCTCCTGCTTTTCTTTCATGCTGGGAAGAAGGGTTCACTGCTGATGCTTCTGCGTGAGACTCTTTGCCTTGGCCTTTCACAATTGATTTGTTTATCAGCACAAGAATTGTCCATTTATCTACTAAAAGTTTGTTCGTAAACAGTTCAAAATATTTTTCTTTGTGTCGATAAAGTAGAAATCCCATTGGGTAGCTCTGCTCCAAGAGCAAGACCCGCAGTTACCTTAGTGCAGCCAGAATAGGGAGAAAATTCACTGTTACGCATATTCTAGTCAGGTATTGGTGTAATCAAACTTTTTTACATGTGTGCCGTAGAGGTTATAACTGAGGCTTCTTGTCCCTAGTCTATTTTACCTGAAAAACACTTCTTTTCCTATTTCATAGTGACTTACTTATATATGTATTTGCTGGGTTAATGGCTTTGGCCCCGATCCTTCAGTAAGGTTCTACCAAGTTGCTAGATAAATAGTTATTTAAAAAAAAATTGTTAAAGATTCAAGATACCTTGTTTCTGGAAGGGGAGGAGTAAAGTAGCAGTATATGAGTGAATGGAAAGTGATGTCTGAGTGATCTAAAAAGACAGGGAAAAAATCTTCAATTGGCAATGCTGCTGCAAATTGCAATTTCAAATATTCAGTATTAATATCTTAGCACAACTTCCTGCTATTTCAGGCCCCTCTCTTTTACTCTGTTCCCTACTCTGAGTTCCCTAGCGCATTTTTATGGCTTTAATTTAAACGAGTGCTTCTTGATATCTTGTTTACAAAGCTGCCAAAGTGAAAAATACCTGTATTATATGAGGCTTGCAGTTCCAGAGTTATCTCAGCACTACAACACAACATCATTATCCAGTCTGCCCCTTATCACTCAGCTGGTAATACGGACTACCGAGAGACTTGTGCCACTTTTGTTACAGCTTTATATGCTCAGGCTTATTGGTGATATCTTGCTCTCCAACTTTGTAAAGATCTTCAAACTGGTACAAGCCTGAGACTGTTCTCGAAAGATTAGATTCTTCTTAGTGATTTTTTTCTTCTTGCAGGAATAGGTGAATCATAGAAAGTAACTTTTTGATTTATTTTACTATCTTCTTGTCAATTGAATAAAAAGTGTGTTGTGAGCTGCTAAGGAAAGGGCGTAGCTTTCTGTAGGGCTTTTTGGAGGACTCCACTGTATAGCGGCAATGATACACTGCAAGATTTAGTAACTAATTGGTGTAGGTGTCCATAAGACTCCAGCTGTCACTTACTTCCTGCATACCTGTCCTGGTTTGAATGACATGGGACTAATTTCTCTTTTAATGCTTCAGAAAACTGCACTTTTAGAAGACTCTAGTGTCTGAATTTGTGAAAATACTTACTTTATAGCAAGTTAGAGTGTGTGGGTCTCAAGGTCTCAGTGTTTTTCGAGCTCGTCAGGTACAGGGATGAGGAGGAGTGAGACCCAGGCACATAACCCAAGCTGGCCAACAGGATTATTTCATACCATGAACATCATATTCATAAATCATAAATTAAGAAGTTTGCTGTGAAGTTGTTAATGGCTGCGGTCCTGAGAACTTCTTGCCCTGGTGCTGGACCTCTGAGCCCTTCCCTTCGTCCCGAAGCCATAGTGCTTGCAGTGTCTGACATTTGCTGTCCACTGCTGGGAGCGCACAGCTTCCTACTGATTGAATTGGCTGAGTATAATCCTTGTATATTTTATATTGGTATTGGGATCAATATTGACTCTTTAGTATTATTAATGTTAATTATATATTCCTATTCTATTTAATCTGTTTATATTTCAATCCTTGGGTTTTCTTGTTTTTCTCCATTTCTCCTTCCCAGGTGGGGAGGAGTCATCGGGTGACAGAACAAGTTGTTGTGGGTTTCTCGAACCATAACAATGCTTTTTCAGTTTTCTGGGATAAGTTCTCATATTCTGTTGCTTATTAGTAGATACACTTTTCTAACCATGCAGAATTATCGTGAAGGGTTAAGTAGTCTAGAAGTGTTACTTTACCTGCCTTTTGTGATGATCAGTTTTTTAACATCATATTTGCCTATTCAAAGACTTGGAATTCTACAAATTCTAGTTTAGTGCTAATTTACGCTAGGATAACCCTCTACACCATCTCGTTTTTTAGCATGTCTCGTCTCTGACAAGAGTTTCCAGATACTAAGCTAAGTAGTATTGCACACTAATTGTTTAGGCTGGTACTTCACTTACTCATTCATCCCAACAGATCATAAAACTTCGTGCTCAGACAGAAGGAATTAACATTAGTGAAGAAGCTCTAAACCATCTAGGAGAAATTGGGACCAAGACAACCTTAAGGTAAGTTGAGCGCAGTTGGCTTTTCTCTTAAGTATGACTAGGTCTAAAAATACTGTAGGATAACTCTCGCTTGGAAGCGAGACAATCCTCCCCCATACAATAATGTGGTCTATTAAGAACAGTGCTAGCTTTAAAAAAGCGTGGTAATCCTCCTCTTTCTTCTTTTAAGGAATGTACTTGCTGGAGTGTCTTGCAGACTTTTTATACTGAGGATAGAGCTGTGTGTTTCCTAACAAATCTCCCACCCCTACATATATTCAGTTCGCTGGGATGCACTGAATTGTAATTATTCATCCATCTCTGTTTGATCGCAGGTATGCTGTGCAGTTACTGACCCCAGCTAACCTGCTTGCCAAGATTAATGGGAAAGACAGCATCGAGAAAGAGCATATTGAAGAAATAAATGAACTTTTCTATGATGCCAAATCCTCAGCAAAAATCTTGGCTGATCAACAGGAGAAGTACATGAAATGAAGAGCTTATCATGTTAGATGCTTTGAAGTGGCTTTAACCCTTACCCAGGGCTGGCTTAATTATTGAATGAGAAATGTTAATGGTTTGTCTCTTTTGGGACTGAAAAATATTTAAATGTTGGACTGCTTTGTCAGGCCAGAATTAACTATCAAGCGTTCCTGTTTCATTATCAACAATAAGATGCTCCATGATGTCTGTGTAACATCTTAGTCTCCCTTTTATGAGTATATACGAAATGAATAGCTCTTGACCCATCAGTTTTGTCTTTAGATTTAATTACAGAAGAGCTCTAACTGAAGTTGATGCTTAAGAACAGTCTATTTTCTTTATGAATGTTGTTTTAAAATAGTTTCCTTTTACAGATGAGAACTTTTTTTTTTTGGAATCAAAGTTTGTCTGAAGTGCTTTATAATAAAATATTTCAAGAGTATTGGAAGCTTGCATGTGTTTACTCTGATTGTTGATCTGCTAAAGAAGCAGTCAAAATAAGTTGGAATTAACAAAGCCAAATATGAGTAAAATGGATCTGCAACACAAAAAACAGATCTACAGCAAAGCAAAGAAGTAGTAATGGGACCTTTTTAAAGTGTTTGGGTTTTTGTAGGTCTTGTTTTTTATTTCTGAAGACTTCTGTGCAGAATGCAGAAAGACGTAATAGTAGTTATGTACTTAACGCCTGTCTTCCAAAGTAACTTATCCTTTCTTTGGGTTTTCTTAAAGCAGATTAAATAAAAATTGCTTTCCATCATGGTTAGCTATTTTTTCACTATGTTCTGTCCCCACTTTCTTGATCACCTAGGATCAGGAAAAATTTGCAAACTGAAAACGAAATCCTGCTCTGTACAGACTTTATATGAACTTAGCCTTAGTCTTTTGTTCACAAAGTATGCTTCCTTGCTTCGTGACGTGTGGATGCTTGATTGCTTCACAGCACTCTGAGGGTAAATAATTTAAAGATTAAGATTCTTGTAACACTGAAATACAAGTCTATGTAACCATGTAAATGGAAGAACTGGGAAAAAATGCAGAAGACTTATAAAGTCACTAACCTCATATTCTGTATTAGAACCACTTTACGTACACTTAAATAAGCGCAGTTCTTAGGGTAAGGTGGGAAGGGAAGAAATGATAACTTGTCACAGGAGCCCAGATTTAAATACCCTTTTTGTTTTTAGCAGCCGCAAAGTGGAGAAGGTAAGTTTTCAATTCATACTTTTAGGTCATCAAAAATTTTAATCCACATTCCTAATGAGAAACTTTGTGACAAGTACCAAGCATACAACTACTAAACCGTCCAGGAATCCTTCATAAAGTTCCTCACAGTGGGAGAATCTCAGTAGGCAGACACTGGCAATTGCTTTTTTTCTTTAAAAAAAAAAAAAAAGAAAAAAGCACCTCTGCTACTCGTTTTGCTTTCCTAAGAGGTTTTTCTTTTAAGAGTTCCTGGTAGTTAGAGAAGCTAAAATGATCCCAGAACCATAGTGTGCAGGCTTATATAAAACCGATTTACATGGCTTAATTGCTATGTATCGAATGTAACAAAGCTTCCTTGTTAAATCCTAGAATTCTGACTTCTAGAACTAATGTGTAAGCTCAGTCACCTTTTTGGGGAAGGAACCCAGCTGCTAAAAACCTCTGTCCGCACCCCTGTATACTCTAGAGGCTTGTCTCTTGTGCTGAAATGCTGTTAGTGGAAATTGCTAATGATTTTTCAGCTCCAAAACACACAGACTGGACAGCAGAGACTTCTGGGGAAAAAAAGCAGAGCTGGAAGGAAGCTGGATGGTTTGGATTTAATAATGTTTTGATCACATTCTACCATCTCAGTCATGTAAAAACCTGTCCCATTCTTCAAAGTAAAATTCAGTACTCTGTCAGCCAACCCTAATTAGCTTTCGTACTTTAAATAATCTATCTCCTCCTTTCTCTACATCTGCAACTAACCAGTAGTGACAGAGATATTTAATGAATGATTTTTGGTTTATCTGTGTATATTTTTGGCCAAGGACCAATCCTGCTTTCAGACCTAAGAACCCTCTCTCTTACTGACTCCAAATGAATAAAGATCACAACTACACCATCAGACTCATTTCCACAGTGCTTCTAAAAATCTCTTTTTACTGCGGCAGTTCTGCATTCGCACTATGGCACGATGGAAAGAGACCCAGTGAATTAAGCTCCTGCATGGTCAAAATTGAACCTTTCTTTTTTGTTGCAGTTTGAACATCCTTCTTGGCAATGATGAATGTCGTTATTTAAGAATATAAATACCATTTTTCTTTGAGGTTTTCTGAAATATTTAACTGATCAATTTAGAATGGGGTTTTAATAAGCCCTGAATGCCAGAGCTTTTCAAAGTCCAAATCAACGTTTGATGGCATTGGCTTTTTACTGATAAATTCAGCTCTGTTCACACAGCAGCACAAGACCTGCTGGGGCAGTGAAGGCTGGTGCCTCCCGAGTACTGAAATCTTAACACGACTGTTGCCACTGCCTACCATCGGCAGAAGAGGGCAGAAACTCTTTGTTTCTCCTTTGACAAACCAATTATTTCTTTGCTTACCAAATGTTCTTTATTAAAATTCAGGCTCTGTAAAATGGGGAAGAAACATCTGTTCTCACAAGCAGTAAAACAAGTGATGCTCTGTAAAACTCGAGCTGGAGAGCCTACCAGACCTCAGAGAGCAAGCAGAGACCTAGGAAGAAGTGAACTGTGCGCCACACACTGAAAATTAGCAGTTCCATCCGACCCCAGTTTCATAGCTGACTTCATGACTGATGGTACCTGTCACTTGAGACTGACTGCGAGTACAGAAGTGTACTTTAGGAAGAAAACAAGATCTCAAAATACACATGGGGGGAAGGCAGCAGCAATCAATCTAAATTGGCATTTTTCCCAAACCTTGAGCAGTTTAAAAAAAAAAACCACCAAACATTATTTCATCGTGTAAGACCGTCCTTACATCTGCCAAGCTAGCCGCAGCTGCCGCTCGGTGGCAGAGTGGTGGCTGGTACCAAACAGTCCCCAGAAAGGGGGAAGAACCCTTCTGATGGGCAACGGCAGAATTCAGTGCGGGCTGTGCTCAGGGAGGGTTGTTGTTACGTACTGACGTGCTCCTCCTAAACCCTCGGCTCTGCTGCCGAGGGGCTCGACTGGGCGCAGATCAGCTCGGGACAAGAAGGGCCTCGCTTTTCTGTTCTGCACGTTAATGTTCATACAGCGGCGAACAAACCCCTGCCTCGTCTCTGACCGTGCACCGGTTCTGGAGAGCTCTCTCCCGAGGGTGCCATCTCTCTAACAGCCGTTAAGTGTCCGTGAAAGACGTAAAGCTGTGATATAAAAGGAAAATCCTTCTACGCTAAATGGCGAGCGAATGTTTATCTAGCCTATTAAGTGACGTCCAGCAGACTTATTGGTGTCAAAGCTTTGCCCATGAAAATAGTCTTTCATATTACCGATAAAAATAGTTCTGTTGAAAGAATCACTGCACCATATACAACAGCTGCTGATGAAGGATCTTAAAAAGAAAAACCAACCCAGAAATGCTTATTTGACACAAAACTGCCCCTTAAAGTGGGAAGGCACATGCAGCAAGGAACATTCCCACCAAGTAAGTTCGGTTATTAATATTAAACGTGAAAGAACAAACTATTATTTTAATTCTTTTCTTCCTGTTTTCCACAAAGGTTGCACTTCATGCATTAATCTTCTAAGCGAAGTTTTTACGACCGATTGCCTGCACACTATGAGAAGTTTCTCCATCCATTACTCGCGGGGAAACGGGCCCTGCTGTGTAGGAAAATATTTGTTACATCTTATCAGGGTGACACATAATCTAACAACAATTACAGCAAGCCCATATTTTGTACTATTTCGGTTTCAACGTGAAAAATAGTTCTAATATTAAACCTGGGGTGGGTGGGGGTTATAGTAACCAGTTGAATATTGTAAGCTGTGATTTCCTTTCAACGTGGAGCGGTGCCGCACTGGGATCCTGCTCCGAGACAGTGGGTACACATAAATCCAGTGTACGTGCCTCCTATGCAGATGCCACAGTGTGGCGGCGACTGAAAGTTGATTCTCTCTCTTTATACATACTGAGATCAGAAATTGCCGCGTCTTTCGTTTTCAGGTGGCCAAAAGCATCTAAAACGCAATCAACCTTTATGAGAAAAAAGGGAGATGGTCGAATACTGACCCAGTGAGGAGACCACTGATGTCAACAAAACACAAGATCACCCACATCCTAAAAACTTTCCATCTCAAAAACTGGTCCAAATGCCCTCAATGGAAAAATGCCGTGATTCCCATCTTGCGTTGGCTTTTGCTGTTTAAAACTGGGGTACCAACAAAGAACAGCACTGGGGCGTGCGCAGCAGCCCACGGTGGGGTGTGGGTTATACTGAAGGACAGCAGGCATGAGACAAGCGTGTTACCTTCCTTTTGGGATGCAGGATGGCCGGAGGATGTACTGGTGTTACGCCAGTGACCTGTTTTAGACCCTGCGTCCTCAGCACCACGGCAGGGGCTGCAAAACACACGTTTGGGAAACCCTTCCTCTGTGCTGATGCCCAACGCACACACTCAGAGCGTGACATACATCAGCATTTGTCAGGGCGGGAAACGCTCCAGAGAGGTGAAGATGATGATGCTTTTTTCGTGTTTTGGCAGAGGATACCCTAGTAATCAAGAGTCATTACCAGTGGGAGTTTATTTTAAACTCCACTGTACTCGTCCAGCCTCAGAGTGCCCCGAAGCAAACATGAGCTATTCCTGCCCAACGTTTCGATACCTTTAAAAGGAACAAATGCAAGTGCCCAGCTCTGTGTCAGTTCTGGGAACGGGGTATAAATACACTTTGGGCTCTCTGTTCACCATCCGTATCTCCTCTGCTGATTAATAGCTTTGGAGCCTGTGCATCATCATACGTATTTTAATTGTGCACGTCCAAGCAAGTCATTAACAGCAGGCAAAGAGACAACACCGATATCCTAGGAGCGGGCAAGGTTACAACTGTAGAATTTATTTAGTGGGAAGATTCTAATCAAGTGAGTAGACCAGGGAAAGAACAGATTTTTTTCCTCTAAACATTAAAAATTAAGAACCAATTTGATTTTATTACAAACAATATTTTCAACAACTTTCACTTGGGGTTTTTTTGGGGTGCCGATTAAAGATTTCCAAAGAGGAGAGGATCTGATGCTGTTCACTTGACCTTGTAACTGTGCAGCCCGCGTGGCTCTGCTGGGGTGCCAGCCCCGATTTCCAAACCAGGCACAGCCCCCCAGCTCTGCCGCTGCCCCCCGGCAGCCACCAGAGCTTGTGACGGTTTCCTGATGTAAAACCAGGCAAGCAAGGAGAAATAAGAGACACTTGAGCACATTTCAGATGGGAAAGCAGGCAAAGGAAGGGGCGCGGGGACGGCAAGGAAGCAA